GCTGACCCCCATTTGGGGTGGGCTCCTCGCAGACCCCTATTGTGGGGGGCTCTTCCTAGGATGATTCATCCCATTTTGGGGGGCTCTTCATTGACCCCCATTTGGGGTGGGCCTTTCTAGGATGACTCACAGATCCCGTTTTTGGGGGGCCTCCTCTGGCCTCAGAGACAGAGGAGGAGCATATTCTCTCACCTCTAAGCCTCTGCCCTGGCTGCCCCCTCCCTGCAGTGCTCTCTTCACCCCTTCTTAGCTTCTCCAGCTTCCTTGTAACTCTCCCCTTCAGGAGGCTCCTTCCAATCCCCCTGGCTGCCAGTGCCTTCTCTCCAAGATCACCTTCCATTTACTTTGTATATATCTTGTTTGTACACACACACACACACACACACACACACACACACACACACACACACATACATACATATAGATGTAGTTATCTCCATATTGTCTCCTACTTTAGAAGGCAGGAATAGTATTTTTTGCTTCTCTTTGTATCCCTGCATAATGGCTGGTTCATAGTGAGAACTTACATGCTGGTTGATTTTGATTGATTGATTCGCGTAATGTGAAGTGTGGTCTGCTACAGGAAGTTGGTTATGAAGTGACGAATTTGGGAGATATGGCAAACCACAAAACATACATTTTGGTATCACAAAATGTAATGGAGTATAATTGTAGCATAAAAACGGCAAATATGGAGAATACAGTTGCAGAAAAGAAGATTTAGGTTCCATGTAAGGAAAACTTCATGATAATTAGAGCTGTCCAAAAGTGGAATGGGCTACTTTAGAAAGTACCTTGTCACTAGAGGTCTTTAGGCTGGGCTTTAATGGTCATTGGTTATCACATCGGTTGGTGATGTTGTAGAGGGGATTCCTTTTCAGATATGGGTTGGTCTATATGCTCTTTGAAATCCTTTTGGAAAGTAAGATGTTATGATTGCCCACAGGGCCGATGTAATGGTAGGTTTATCCCATATGGACAAACATTTTATGGTTGTTTATGGGACCCAGATACTATGGGATCATTCTTAGGGACCCCAGTCTTGTAGAATCACCTTGACTGACTACCCCCATCTACAGGTTCCTTCCTTACTACTCTTCCCGTCTTAAAAAAACTTTCACTAGACCCCATGGTATCCTCAAGCTAACATCCTATATCTTGCTGTCCTTAGTGAAACTCAAGGAAAACACTTTCTACATGTGTTTCTTTCTTTCCCTTCCTCTTAATTATTCTTCAATCCTTTGCATTCTGGCTTCCAACCTCATCACTTACCTAAAACAGTTCTCTCTAAAGTTACTAATAGTCTCTTGATTGTCAAATTCTTTTTATTATCTATCTTGGTCTCCCTGCTGCCTTTGACACTTTACCATCCTGAATACTTGCTCCTCTCTGGATTTTCATGACACTACTGTTTCTTGGTTCCTCTACTGTCTATGTAACTATCCCTTTTCAATCTCCTTTTCTGACC